ACCTTGACACGTGTCCTTCCAGCAGAGTCTTTGAGCGGTTGCGCCGACACACATTGCACAGTCATGGTCCACTACGGTCACCATCAGGAACATGGTCTAGTGTGCAACTATGTTCAACAGATGCTGGAGCGAGTGCATGAAGAGTGTGGCTGTTAAAAGGCTTCAGGAGATCAGCAGCATTGAGATGGGAAAAACTGGATTTAAAAAAAAGGAAGGGAGTTTTGTTATCTATAGTCATCTCCTATTGTGCTGGAGACGGTGTATCTGTAATATGCACAGCACCATCTACTGGCTGAAGGGGATAAACAAAGACCAGTCATGCAGGAAGTGATGCAAGAGGCCAAATATATATATATATATCTATATGTAGCTTGTCAATCAGCACCTGGCCACGCCTAGCCCTGCCCACTGCTTTCTGGATTGACAGCACTGCCTATGTTACAGACACCTTAGTACTGTGCTGCATCTCCTTCAGTGTCCAGTTACGGGCTGGAGGCGGGTCCATGACAGCCTGGGTTTAGAGCATGTCGGTTGAATGATGCTGGCTGTCGGCCTGAGGACATCTAGTGGCGAAAAACAACAACTGCACAGCAAAGTTTCTTTTTTATTTGTTCTCTTTCAATTGGCAATTCGGGTTTTTTTTTTCCAAGCTTCAATCTTATCTCCGTTACTTTATTCTGCGTGCTCAGGAAATGGTGGACAGAATTTACTAATAAAAGGTCAGGTAAGGTAGCCGAGACGTCAGAGCCTCATTTTTAGACCCCCGAAGCCTGTCAGCCTCCCTGCCACCCTCGGACAAAGTTCATGTGCGTGTAAAGGCGTCCCAATACTTTTGGCAATATAGTATATATTGAGCCTCCTGGCTTTGCTTTTGCAGCCTCATTCCTCAGGCCTGTCTATTTCCTCCAGACAATCTCAACACTGTGGTAATCTACACACTTGGTTCTGCTGCCCTGGCCTCCACTCTGCTTCCTGGGTGGTGTCCTCCTGACTCCTGGATGGAGACCTTCTCTATCTAGCAGGTGGAGCCCTGAACACTAGCCAGCACCTTTGCCATAAGGGGTGTTCTTTCACTGGGTGCTGGTCACTGCTAAAACATGGAGCCAGGGTTAGTGGCTTCATCCCACCCAAGTCTCTCCAAAGCTCCCGGGTTCCAGGACCCTGACCAGGTTTGTAACATATCTCCTGGAGCCTCTCAACGCTCATAGGGGAGAATCCTGGGTGCCCTTTAGCCTTCATATTACTGTGAACAGGCCCGTCACAGTACATGTATTAAAACCTTTCATGTAGGGATGCACCGATACCAGTTTTTTGGTATCGGGTACCGATATTTTTTTCCCCGGTACTTGCCGATACTGAATACCGATACCGGAAGTCCCAATAGGGAAGCCAGGTGGCATGTAATGACTAGCCACCTGGCTTCCTGATAAGCTGGGCGGCGTGTAAAGACTCGCCACGGGCTTCCCGATCAGCAGTCTCTATGCTTCTTGTCACTAGGTGACGAGAAAGCATGGAACCGGCTTTCTGGCCAATCAGGAAGCAGGGCACCATGTAATGATGTGGCGCCTGGCTTCCTGATTGGCCAGGAAGCCGGTTCCATGCTCCCTAGTCATTAAAGGAGAACTATGAGGGGGGGGAGGGGTGCTTTTCACTCACCTCATAGTTCTAGCCGACCTGTGACAATGAGACTGTCACAAGTCGGCTCAGTAGATCGGGAGGTGAGAGAACACATACCGGCGTTCGCTCACTTCTCGATCCTGTCACGGCTCTCTGCCGTGACAGGGGAGGGGCTGCATTCCCCGCTCCGATCCGCCAGAGGTAGCAACATTAGCGATAAACTGTTTAAAATTAACTCCATTACAAAAACTAGAGGCCACCACCTAAAATTGGTGGAAAAAAAATTCCAGCACAAGGGGCGAAGGGGGTTCTTCACAGTAAGATCAGTTAGGGTCTGGAACTCACTGCCACAGGCGGCGATCTCAGCAAATAATGTGGAATTGTTCAAGAAACTTTTGGACGATTTCTTAAGGGACCGTAATATACAGGGGTACGGCTACTCCTAGAATGAGATCCTAATAGGTTGGACTTGATGGACTAATGTCTTTATTCAACCTCAAATACTATGTAACTATGTAGCATTTGCGCGATATCGCGCAAAATGCAAATCGCGCGACAAACGCGCGATTTGTGAATCGCGTAGTGTGAATGGGGCCTTAAGGTGAGGAGGAGCATGAAGCCGGCTTCCCGGCCATTCCTGATTGGCTAGTTTCCAGACGAATCAAGAAACCGGGCAGCAAGTCATTATGCGCTCCCCGATTGGCTGGGAAGCCGTCTTCACAAGTGATGAGGGAGCAGGGAGCCGGCTTCCCGGCCAATCAGGGAGCGTGTAATGACTCGCTGCCCGGCTTCCTGAAACCGGAAGTATCGGGCTAGGCATCGGAGCATCCCATTGTATTAGTATTGGTGCATCCCGACTTTCATGGGTAAGTCTTCACGATTACAATAAAGTAACATTGGGATTCTTGCACCGGCCGAGTCACGACGGCTTCTCTTTAACGCGCGTCTCCGGGTTGAAGCACAAGCCACATCCCGCCCTGCTGGCCCGGGGTGATATACGACTTTTATACACAATATTCTTATTTCTGTCATGGTCCTGCCCTCGCCCGCCGCACCACTTTCATTCCGGCGGTCGCTAAAAATGACACATTACACAATGTAAGAGATTGATGGTTTACATAAAACAACAAAAGCGGCATTTGTTTGAGAAGTGCCGGCGCGTCCCCCCCCTCCCCCCCCTCCCGGGCAGCGCCTGCGCCGCTTTGTTTAATGCGGAAGGGTCATAATATTTACGAGCAAATTTCCTCAAGGACCGGCCGGCCGCCGCGATGGCGGAGGAGAATATTACCGAGTATAAACAACACCTTGTTACCGCGGGGCCGCTCTTTGAATGCGCCAATAAATACCGAAGGCTCCGCGAGTCGGAAATTTCACTTCGCCCCGTGGTGGGCCCGCCGTTGTAAAAACAGACTCGGAGTGTTATAGAAAGTGTCAGAGATGAACTCGATGTGAGAGAGTGGAGGGACAAAATATTACTGCGGGATGGGCGCAGTATTTCACTCTGCCGGCCGTGCTCCCAAGGATGCCGCCGCCAAAACTGTGCGCTTACAGTGTATGCAAAGACAAAACTTTTTGGTTGCATTTGGGACACAGAAGGGAAAGAGAGTTAATGACTGTCAGCCGGTGTTCTATCAAAGATTGTGAATGCGTTAGAATGTGTGACCGGTGACGCGGTCACACATTTTAACGTAATCCCGCCCAGTTTTTCGGCGGTGGAATGTGTGACCGGCAGAAGGAGAAGAATTCCAACGCTTTCCCAGCTGTTCCAGGACACCGGCATCGCAGACGGTATGTGCAGGAGAACCGATCTGCAATGGAACAGCTGATCGGTCCTGAAATCTTATCCGACTTTGTGGAATGTGAGATAGCAGTCACGAAGTCACATTTCAGGACCGACCAGCTCTTTCAGGGCAGATCGGTTCTCCTGCACATGTGATCTGTGATGCCGATCTGCCCTGAAACAGCTGAGAAAGCCTTGGAATTCTTCGTCTTTTGCCCGTCACACATTCCACCTCCGAAAAACTGGGCGGGATTACGTTAAAATGTGTGACCACGTGACCGGTCACACATTCTGACGCAGTCACAAACTTTTATAGGACACCGGTGACCGGACAGTGAAAGGAGAAGCAGCACAGTGATGAGCTCATCTCTCTGCTCTCTCTTCCTGTTAGCATGCTCCTACTCGGCACACAAACTGATTGGCTCTCTGTGCTGCTTCTTCCTCTCCCACTACAGCTCTGCTGTACAGGAACATACACTTACACTGTACTCCCAAGGATGCCAAAGCCAAAACTAGGTACTTAAAGCGTAAACATTTTGTTTTAATTCGGGACACAAGGAAGAAGGTTAAATTCTGCCAGTAATTTTTGGCATCTATGTCACACTGGGGAGATATTCCTTCACTTCCTGTCCAGCAGAAACAACAGGAAGAGAGAGGAAATCTTAAAAGTGGGGGACATCTTCTCACAAGCCCCCTATGTGACAGCCTGCTGGTGGTGACAGGTTCTCTATAAAAGGTGGCAATAGGGGTCTATCAGACCCCTAGTGTCATCTTTCCACTTCAAAGAAGCTATTGAAGCACAGATTGTGGGTTCTGTAGATGGGGAATGACAGCCGAGGAGCTGGAAGTGATGCAATCAGCGTCGCTTCCAGCTCCATTCAGTAGGGAGTAGATCGGCGAACGGATGTCAGCTGGTTTCTCTTCCTGCTGACACCCCCCCGATGCCAGTCCCAGGCCTGCAGGAGAGCAGCAGAGCCCGGGAAGCAAGGCAGGGGTGTCGGGGCTTGTTGGGGGAAGGCTGTTTACTGGCACATGTAAGCGATCTGGCGGCAGCTCAGCCACCAGAATCACGCAGTCAGCCTTACACAGGTAAACAGAGTCCTGGCGGAGTGGCTGGTGCCTGGTCCCCTCACTGCCCCCTGTGTATTCTGATGGGCAATAGTGCTGACATCATCACATTAGAGTGAACACAACCATATTATTATCATTGAGCAGAAACTTCATGTCTGTGCTTATCACCACCCAGCTCCGCCCACTCATTAGCAAACCCGCCCACCCCCTTTGGACACCATCACCATCCATACACCAGCCCACAAACGATACTACCATCCCAAAGCATGATGGGATATGTCGCATCACAAAGACTAGGGACGAGCTCAGGTTCAGACTGAACCTGGTCCAAACCTGAGCTCCTCTGAACGAGAAAGTGCCATGGGCCACCTGCACATTCAGCTGCGGGCTGGGGGCGTTCCCTGTACAGGTAATGCGTACGTCCTCCATAAAGTCTTATAATGGCACCAAGGAGAATGTTCTAAGGCTGAAGAATTTTAACAGTTTAGAACTCTTCTGGTCACAAAGCTCGGACCGGCTGAACATTACTTACTCGGAATAGGAGAAAACTTCAAGGTTCTGGATAGTGGCGTCCCTCCGGTTCAGTGGAACGATCCCTTCGTTTTCCAGAACGTGTTCCCTACTTGTCACGGGCTCTTCAGCGGCGGCGTCCCTGTTCTGATCAGAAGAAAAGATTCGGTAAAACTAGAATTCTAAGCGGCTCGAGTAAGATCTTCGGATACCCGTATTTTTTTCCGTCTATAAGACGCCCCCCAACTGTTCTTACCCCAAATTCCGAAATCAATATTTTAAAAATGGTATAATGCATCACACTTACCTCAATCACGTTATGCTCCCGACATTACAGCTCCGGGCACTGGCTACACGCTCTCCCGAGCGCCGGCTGACGTCGGGTACAAAAGATTTATGATCGGATCGCAGAGACAAGATAAACAGTTTTCCTCCAATCATCAAATCTTTTGTACAAGACGTCAGCCGTTGCTGGGGAGGGCGGATTACAGAGCCAAGATAACAGTTGCTGGGGAGAGCGGATTACAGAGCCAAGATAACAGTTGCTGGGGAGGGCGGATTACCGAGCCACTCTCCCCAGCAACAGCTGACGTCGGGTACAAAAGATTTGATGATTGGAGGAAAACGTATCTCGTCTCTGCAATCCGAAGTTTCACTCGTGAGTCTAGCTTGCAGTGGTATCGGCACTTTCGCCAGTTTCGCAACCGCGGTTCTCCTCTCGCCCCCCCTGTGTATAACACGCCCCTCCATTTTTAGGGAAATATTTTTATGTGTAGTCTTATACACGGAAAAATACAGTATGTTACAATGTTACTTTTTTCTTCCACTAGCTGTTCTCAGTTTGATTGCCAGCATCATTCAACCCACTTGCTCTGAGTCCTTGTCATTCAGGACCGGCTGGATCCTGTCACTGGTTAATGAAAGAAACAGAGCAGTGATGAGTTCATCTCTCTGTCAATCTACTTTCCCTTCTTATCAGCATGATTATTGTCAGCATGTAAACTGATTGGCTTCTTATGCTACTACTTATTCTCACTCTTCAGCATTCACTCTTCAGTGCAAGGACTACAAGAGGTTCTTACATAAGGATTACAGCTCACCTTATTCTGTCGACCATAACTACAAAGAGCTTGACAATGTTTACACTGTAAGTGACGTACCAGCTGCATCCTGCTGAATTGAATGTTAAGAGTGGTGGGAAGGACCCCTGGGAAGCACAGTCACAGCATAGCATTATTCGCTTTCATATGTTTGCATATTGTTGGGTGCACTAAGCAACGTGGCTATGTTTTAGACATGTGCACCAGCAAAAAATTTGTTTCGTTTCGATTCCGAATTTGCGTTATTTCGTTTTTTGGGATTCGGGTCCGAAATTGAATTCGTTTCGGGATTCGGATCGGAAAGATTTGTTAGCGGTAGTCCGGTTGGAATGACATTAGGGGGGAAAAAATTCTTTTATTTTATTTTTTTTAGTCTGCAGAAGAGGAAAAAAAAAAAAGTGTGAGGTCCCCCCCCCAATTCATGCCAGACCCTACAGGTCTGGTAGAAATGTTAGGAGGGACCCCCCTAAGTTAAAACAAAAAAAGTGCGTTGGGTTCCCCCCACAATCCATACCAGGCCCTTTAGGTCTAGTAGGAATTTTAAGGAGGAACCCCAGCCCCAAAAAATGGGGGGGGGAACGTGGGGTCCCCCCTAACATTCCTACCAGACCCTTGATCAGAGCACTGGCCCAGCATTGCAGGAAAAGGGGGGGGACGATCGAGCGCCCTCCCTCCCTGTGCCTTACCAGGCCACGTGCCATCGGCATTGGGAGGGTGTCCCCATGCCGATGGGGACAAGGGCCTCTTCCCCACAATTGTGACCCGGTGGTTGTGGGGGGTCTGCGGGCAAGGGGGCTTATTTGCATCGGGGTACCCCTTTAATTAAGGGGGCACCCATATGCCCGCAAAAAAAAACCCCGCCGCATGACGAACGTCCGAACCCAACGAAAACTCGCCGCAAAATGACATTCATCCCGAAAGAAAACAGATGGGCAGAGCGAGCCGTGACGTCATGGCTCGCTCCGCCC